AAGTCTGGGGAATTCCTACTTGAAGTTCTGACTTACTAAAACTGCAAAGAAGTTCGACGCTAACTTGGAGACAAGCGGTGAGGACAGAACTGAGCTGGGCGCCCTCCAGGGAGACGGCGCCGGCCGCCTCCACACGCGCACGTGCAGAGGGTGCCGGGCCGCGCTGGCCAGCCAGACCTCGGAGCCAGTCCGCCTCCCGCCCAGCACGGCCTCACCTCCTGTCCTGCTCCGGGGGTCGGCGCTTATCCACAATGACCGGTTTCGGCGGCGGCCGGAACTCGCCGGGCTTGGAAGGCCCAGTGCTCTGCTGCCGGCCGGGCCCCCCGCGGACCCCTGCAGAAGCGAACAACAGAGATCAGGGCTCTCCGCTCAGCCAGAGACAGGCAGAGTCCGGCAATCTTTTCCAACCTGCAGACCAACAACCAGTCGCTCCTGCACACCTCTCTCCAACATGGCCCTCGCGGCCCCCAGCACTAAAGCCCCGCTCCACTTACCGCAGGCCACAGAGGCAGGTGCAGGGAACAGCGCCCTGGCGGCTCGGAAGCTCTGGGCCAAAGCCATGGCAGCCCCACAACCCCCTAAGGTGGAGGCGGCCATGTTGGCTCACTCAGGTAGAAACTACAACTCCCAGAAAGCAATGCGATGAATGCGGCCAGATGGTGGATGTTATGGGACAAAATATGCAAGAGCTTCTCTTTCTCCACTTCCTCCTGAAAAACAGTTTGGCCACAGTCCCTGAGATTACAGACAGCATTACCCTTTTAAGGAACTAAGTTTCAGTTTGGACTGGGCAACTGGGAGAGATCCAGCAAAAAATGTAAATTTTAAGTCTTGTTAGGAAATTTGAGGAACTGAGAGTACAGCTAAGTGGCAGCTAAGTCTGCTTGCACAAGACCCTGGGGTTCCAACCCTTCACCAAAACATAAAACAAAACCAAAATGAAAAGAAATTTGTGTTTCTCGGGAATGGTGAGCTTCTGGAAGGATTTAATACTTAAACTAATGTGATTATTGGTCATTTTATCGAATCAGTGTCCCAAAGTTACCTCAAATTCAGCATGTCCATTCAACATAATCTTCTTTAAGCTTCCTTCCCAGTATTGGCTTCAACATCCATTTTGTTGCTCCAGGCAAAAAGTGCTATCTTGGTTCTTCTCTGTCTCTCCGTGGTAAATAGCCTAAAATTATGCTGGGCACCATCAAATATCTCAAGAATCCTTGCTTTCTCATCTTCCCATCCATATCTCTAATACATGTTACCAGCCTTTATCCTCAGATCACTGCAAGTAACAACTATTTCATTGGTTGTCTGGCCTCTCATTTGGTTCTTCTCCACACAGCAAACAAAAAAGATAGCTCAGAAATGCAGACATTATTTTTGGTTTTTCCCAGTTTAAAGCCTTCCACAGTTTTCTACTGACCTTGCATGAAAACAAAATTATCGGAAAACAACTAATCTCTGTAGCTTGCTTCCACGTTCTCTGGCTTGCCATGAGCTTATACATGATCCTAAGAAAGAGGACCAGGTTCTAAGGGCAGAATTCAAGGTGCTTTGAGGAAAGACAGGGTCTTCTATTTTAACTACAGCTTTGTTAATTAGAACAAGAACATATCCTAAAAATAACAAGGAATCATACAATCAAAATTTGAGAATGGCTAAATTTTGCCTATTTTTCCCACCTTAAAAAAAATGTCAGACACTTAAGGAAGCTTAAAAGGGAGAAGAGGCAAAGAATTGTGACTGGTGGTAGTGAGGATTTTTCTATATATTGTTATACTCAGAACAACTTGACTATCACCCTTGCTAGGACTGTCCCTATGGGTGAGGCAGAGAATAATGATAGACCTTCACAGGAGGAAGGCAGAATTTTCTAACATTCCCAAGTTATCCCTGCTGCCCTACCCATCTAAGGATGAGAAGGTTTTGCAGAGTTTTACAAAACTGACAAAATGTACCTAAAGAATCTTATTTAGTCCCCTTCCATGTTCCTACTTACCCAATATCCATCATGCCTCTCTTGACCTTACCTTAGCATGAAGAACAAGTTGTGGTTTTAATGATTCTACCAAACAACTTCATGGAGTAAAATCAAAAGAGCATAGAGTCAGCTCAATCATTTCATAAACTGATTACAGGAAGACAACTTTATTTATTTCTATATTTTATAGTCATAGGAAGGAGAGCTTGGACATCATTACATAAGGGAATGAAGTATTCTAGGCAAAGTCCCCATGTCAGGTTATTGTGACATCAGGATTTTTTGTCTGTTTTGCTAATTATTGCAGCCTCTATGCCCAGTATCTGCTACTCAAGATTGAGATAATGAATTAGTAAGTTCTTGGGTAGATGTCTGACTCATAATAAGTCCTTTGTTTCTAGCTTTATTGGGGCATGACTAAAAGTAAAAAAAAAAAAAAAAAGTATATATTTAAGGTGTACAGTGTGATGATTTGACATACATATACTTTATGAAATCATTACCACAATTGAGCCAAGTAACATAACCATCACTTCATATAGTTACCCATTAAAAATGCTTTGTTTTAATTTACTTTAAAGATGCCAGCAAGAGGAGACTATGACCTGATCTATGTATGAACCCACCCCAAAAAAAAAAAAAAATCTCTCATTATAAAGAGGGGTTGGTCATCATAGTAGTTTAGAAAACTAGAGTTACAACATGAAAAGTTGGCCAGTGACCAGCCAGAAAAGGAAGGAGACTTAGCCCAGTGGTTTGGGGAATTGCCAAGCCCACTGAAGAGTCCATCCTGGGGCAGAGAGAGACATCGAGTTGTAGCCAGTAGTTGTCAAGGTATCTGATTCAGCTAATGAAGTGATCCCGAGGGTGAGCGTTAACCTGCTGGCAGGAAACATTTGAAGCCTTTATTAAGCTCCCATTGTTCTATGTTCATGTAACATCTACTTATTTTTTGGCATTTAATTTTGCCTTCAGAGAAAGACGTACTCATCACAGAGACTCAAATGTTCTGGTATTCTGATCAGCATGATTATTTTGTGTTTTATTATAAATTAATTAACTAGCATTAATTTTGCCATATTAGTCTCCTAAGTCTGGTTTAGGTGAGTCTGCCCAGAAAAGTGAATCTATTTTATACTGTGCTAAACAATCAGGTGCTGGCCTTCCAAAACCTTTGAAAGATCCAAGGCCATGGCATGACAAATTCTCAAAAGTGAAAAATAGATGTGAGACCTCAAGCTGTATATCTTTCCTGCATAAAAGACCTTGATGTTGGGCTGGGATTGTAGCTCAGTGGTAAAGCGCTTGCCTCGCACGTGAGGCACTGGGTTCGATCCTCAGCACCACATAAAATAAATAAAGATATTGTGTCTATCTACAACTAAAAAAAAAAATTTTTAAAGACCTTGATGTTGCCTCAGAAGCCATGCACACACCTATTTATGCATGTATACACACACTTGTATTCACTATTTGCATATCTATCTTGCTGTTCAATAAATTACTCCAAAATTCAGTTGCTTAAAACAATAAACATTTACTGTCTCATGGTATGTGGGAGAGGAATCCAGAAGTGATATAGCTGAGTGATTGTGACTTGGTTTTTCCACAATGTTGCTATCAAGAAATCGAGATGCTGGCCAGGGGGATGAGAGGGCTGGGTTCAATCTCTAGCACAGGTGGGAAAAAATGTTGGTCAAAGTTTGTTTATTTGTCTCTTTCTTTCTTTGGTTTGGTTTTTCAGTGGCAGAGATCAAAATTTTACCTCTATCTTGAACCTCCCGCTTGCCTTTTGTCACAAATCCTTGGTCTTAACAACACCTATAGGTTCAGACTTCTTTATTCTCTCTGTTCAAAGTCAGTTCTTTGAGATCAGAAGCTGTTTTAAGGCTTATTTCTCTACCGAGGCAGATCTCTGAGACAGAGCTGTGGATATGAGACTGAAGATGGTGGTGAGCTTCTTTCTGAGTGAAACCCTATTGGAGTTATGTGCTTGTTAGAAGGAGGGTATAGCTTCAGGCCTTCTTTCCTTGCCTACTCCCCTGGAATGGAACCACTGTCCCACAAGCCAGGGCAAGAGTGAGCAGGGCTCCAGTATTCTCAGTGAGTTGTGCATAAAGTGAGCTTCCCTTCCATGAGCTACAGCTCTGCAGAAGCAGGGTAACCCCATGCTCCATCTCACCTGCTCAGGAGGTGGTCTCATCGACGTAGCTGGGGATAGGATCAGATGCTGAGGTCCTGTTCCTCCTGGAGAGAAAGCCCTCCATCCGGGTGCTGAGTGAGGGGAAAGGGAGCCTGGGCTCTTGGTTACAGCAGCCCAGAGTAGAATCACTGCCCATCTGAGGGCAGTCTAGATTTAAATACCTCAGACCCTCATGTTTCTCACTGAATTTTCATAGATGTTCTGAACAGCTCTTCATTTGTTCTTTGCCCTCAGGACTATTTTCAGAGGCCTTAAATGGAGATATGTAAATACAAATGAATATGCATAAAAGTTTTCACTAGTCTCATTGAGGAGAGGGTCAGTGAGTTCTTCATGTTGTTGAAGTCAATCTCTTCTTTTGCTTTAAAATGAGGTGATAACAATGTGCCTTGAATCCCACCACATATCCCTGACATCTTGGGGCTGTCCTAGACCTCTCAACACGTGCTTTCTGAAGACACTGATTAATTCATAGTTTTTCATTTCTTCGCCTTCCAGATCTTGACCTGAAGGCACTTCCCAGTGTCAAGGCAACACAAATAACCCTTTTCCATTTCTCTTTCTATGAACATTAATATTATCAGTTGAAAGATAGTGGCTACTGAAAAACAACATGTTAATTAGAAATTTTCAGATTAGACCTTTCTTAAGTACTACTTTTCAAAATCAGAAATATTTCATTAAAAGTTTGTTAGTTGTTTGAAAGTATTTCCTGATAATAAGTTTTAAAAGTTTCCCCCAATATCGAGTTCTGAAAAACAGCTTATCTTCAACAAAATGTGTGTGTTTTTCCACATAAACCTGAGTTGATTTCAGGCCAAGAATGTATTTTCAAGGATCATTTCTATAATCTGCTGCTAGTGAAGTGTACTGAGTGTGTAAGGTACTGGTAACCTTGAAGATGAGTGGTAGTGTTTTCTCCTGAGCACAGGCCGGCCTGTGGTGTTGCCTGGTGGCAGCTGCCACTTCTCCACCATGACGACTTTTCCTTTCTTTTGGGAAATAGAGAGAGCACAGGCAGAGGAGTTTCTTAAATATTTCTTATGTATTTCATAAAATTAAAAAGGGAAATGTATTTCTTTTTGAAATTGTTAACAAAGGCAAATCCTTATTTTGTCCTCTGTATGGCACAATCTGAAAACCTCGAGAGATTTAGTATTGCTTGAACAGAAATCTCAAGGTTGGGGAGAGGAGTACATGTAAGGTCATCTTGCATGAAGGGACAGCAGGCAATGCCCATGGATTTAGAATTTATAGGAAGGTATTCAGGGAGCTGTCCAGGAAAGTGATAAGCAGGGGTGAGGCCCAAAGGGTTTAGATCACAGGGCAGAACACGGATGTCTTAGGGTAGGATGATGAGATGACTAAGGAGAATGGCCAGGGCCACAAGAGAAAGGAGGCCACAACCCTCAACTTAGGTCATCAGGTTGAACCAGGGGAGACAGTGGGCTCCAGGGAGGAGAGATAGGCAAAGTACAAGGGGTAGGTTGGGGGACTGGGAATCAGAATGACTCTAATATTTATGCATGTGTTTACGCTTGTGCTTCTCCAGAAACTTCCTAAGAATCCAGGAGAATCAGCTAATAAAGGAGTAGAAATCAAAAGAAATATTTTGCAAACTGCTCTGACGAAAGTATAGAGACAACTTGGGCACGGTAATGTGTGTCTACAGTCCCTGCACTTGGAAGGTTGAGGCAAGTAGATCAAGGACAGGCTGGGCAACAGAGGGAGACCCCCATCTCTAAATAAGTAAGGAAGTAAGTAAGTAAATAAATGAAACCTAGACACTTTAAACTTAAACAAAATGGTCAGAGTAAACAATTCATTTGCAAAAGCACCTCTGTTGATGGTGACTGTTGAAAGTTGTAAAAATTACTAGAGCATGTATGTTAATTCAGGTTTTCAGAGAAGCAGACACCATGACAGAATTAGAAATGTAAGAGATTTTGGGGGCAAAATGTATGAGAAAGATAAAGAGTTGTGGGGAGAGAGACTTCAGACTACAATATAGGTCCGAGAGGACAGGAGAGGAGAGGAAAGAAGATTGTGAAGGAAGAGCAGACAGTCTTGAGTAGGTCAATGGGAAACCCCATGATCAAGAGTGTCTGCCAGGGGGCCAGCACTAGACAAGAGCAGCCCCTCACTGGTACCATTGCTGTGCACAGACATTGGCTGGAAGCATCCCAAAGAGCAAGGCCTAAGCTTGATTTCTGCAGATCCCAGAGGCAGGGCCGCCAATAAGCCTCAGCAAACTATTACCAAAAGCAGGTTCTCCCTGTATGGGAACGAGGCCCCCAGTAACTTCTTGATTGCCTCTTCAAAGAGACAGGTCATTGTTGATCAAAAAAAAAAGAAAAAAAAAATATATATATAGTGTTAATATATATATATATATATATATTTTTTTTTTTTCCCTTGAGACAGTTCCTGTTTTAGGAATTTTTAAAAATCAATATATATACAAAACACTGTAGAACAGAAGACAGGAAACACAAAAGTCCATCCTTGTGAGCCAATTAAACAAACCACTTTGCAACTGAATATTATGCGATCCTTAAATGAGCCCAATGAATCCACTTGAATGCATTGTCTCCCAGGGATATCTATAAAAGAAAAGGCTTTGTTTACTACTTGCTACCTTTCTTTATAAGAATAGATAGATAGAAGCTGTGTGTGTCGCATGCCTGCAATCCCAGCAGCTCTGGAGGCTGAGGCAGGAGGATCATGAGTTCAAAACCAGTCTCAGCAATTTAACGAGGCCCTAAGCAATTCAGTGAGACCCTGTCTCTAAATAAAATACAAAAATGGGTTGGGGATGTGGCTCAGTGGTTAAGTGCCCCTGGGCTTAATCCCAGGTACCCAAAGAAAAAGAAAGAATAGATATATGAAAGATAGTTAACATGTATGCATATATATGCACAATTTATCTATAGAAGAAACTGAATATTAATTCCTCTGGCCAGAGTTTCTGGGAGATTGTTACCAACAATTCTTACCAACAAATTAATTCAGTGCCTTCCCCTAACTCTTGTTCTTAATGCATATCCACAGCAAACAAAAAGTTCTGCTGAAGAGCAATGATGGGTTGTAAGAGGCCAGCTTGTAATCCACTATGGAGTAGTAATGTGTTTATTAAAGGGCAAGAACTAATTCTCAGCAGTATTTGGATACCTTTTTGATCTTTGCGTTTGAAGGGGGTGTTTTGTAGGACATTTTTTTTTTTCCGGTAAGTCGGACAATGAAAAATTCTCTTCATCGAGAAAATGCAAGTGGGTTTCCTTCAGCTAAAGAACACCACTGTATTTATTCTGTGTCATTTGTTGACATTTTTCTAGTATGTTACTAGTGTTAATAGACAATTATTTTAAAGAGGTAAAATCGTGACTCTCATAAGGATATAAAAAGAACACACATCAGAGGTTTCATTCAGCTCATTAATGAGTGAGGAAAACAGTAAGAAGTTTTATAGCAAGTGCAAGGAGACTCAGAATTTCCCACACTGTACTCAGATGAGGAGTGTTTACATGGATTCACAGACAGATGTCACAGGGTGACTGGCACATTCCATCCAACACTATCTGCTTTCTTTGTGCAAAAATTACTTGTACTAGTTTTCTACAAATTCCAGAATACAAAACAAGCACAGTGAAGGGTGGAGATAAAACCAATGGATGAGCCCATTTTGATCTCCAATTTCCCTACATGAAGAAGTGAACTTGAAGCTGTTCCAGGCTGGTTTGCATGATAGATTTCACTTTCCCCTAAGCATGAGACCTCATATGGCAGCTACTAGTTACAGATGATTTTCTTTTCTTTCCTTGGAATAAATAAGAGGAAGGGAATGTGAGTGGACTGGTTACCAACTATACGTGGTTTTATATATACAAACAATTGAATTTCTTTCTTATTTATTAATAGGTTTTCTAATAAAATATAGAATGTCTCAGTCAGTGTTGCAATAAAATGTCCTAAAATCACATAATGCAATCTTACTTAATATTTTGCTTTTAAAATTATATATAGGACTGCTGGTACAGTGGCACCCGCCTATAATCCCAGCAACTCCAGAGGCTGAGGCAAAAACATCACAAATTCAAAAACAACCTCAGCAATTTAGTGGGGCCCTAAGGACTTAGCAAGACCCTGTCTCAAAATGAAACATTAAAAGAAAAGGGGGTGGGATGACTGTGGAAGTGGCTTAATGGTAAAGAGCATCTTGGTTAAATTGCCAGAGGAAAAAAATTCAAAATAATAATTTTTGTTGAGTACTTCCTGTCACCTCCTGTGTTTTAAGAATTACTGGCACAAGATTTAGTAATAAGCAACATAAAAACCCCTGCCCTCATTGAGTTTTCACTGTTTTGAGGACACAGATAGTAGGTATAAAATGGTGATGGGAAAAGTGGCACTGAAGGGCGAGAGAATAAAGTGTGTGGGATCAACAGAGAACTAAATGAAGGGAGAAAGCAGGTCATGGGAGAACCTGAGAGAAAAGAGTTACTATTTTTAAGCTGAGAGATGTCCAATAAATAATTCTGCCTTTGAAAATATGCAGAATTATTGAGTTTTATTAAAAGCAAAATTTATGTTCTATTAGGCTTACTACTCTAGTCTTGTTCTTTCTAAAATCTTTGAAGTCCTGGAATATAATGGGAAGATGACTCCCATCTACTCGGGAGGCTGAGACAGGAATATTGCAAGTTCAAGGTTAGCCTTGGCAAAAGAATGAGACCATGTCTCAAAATACAAAAGCCTGGGGATGTATTTCAGTGGTAGAGCACCCTGGCTTCAATCCCTGGTACCTGGGTAGGGGGAGAGGTTGGTAATAGAAATAATTTACTCTGAAGAAACCATTACAATACAGAATGATAGATACTGAGTTGGATGTGCACCTTGTGAGCTGCTGTGGCACATGGGTATGCATTTTGCCCAGACTAGTTGCAGCTGGGAAAGTTTTCCAGAAGAAAGGAGACTTGAACTGAGCCTTAAAGATATACATATAGTGGAACAAATCAGATTAGGATTAAGAAATTTGAGAATGATAACCCACCCTCAAATAAAACATCACTTAAAAGACACATAGAGAATACGACATTCAATTTAGTTCCCAAGTCTTAGTTCCCAAGTCTTCATCATATCAGACAATGAGCTCTCTCTGGTTAGTTCTTGGAAAAATGTATACCCACTTAAACCAGCAGAAAATGCTTTAAAAATGTGTTATAGATAGCCTTATTACCAAAAAAAGAGATCTTTTTATTTTTTTCAAAAACATATCTTTATAATCTTACTTAGATTTTTCCTCCTCCTGGTTCTCAATCTCAGGAAATAGCAAACCAAACTCCCTGACTCCTTATTGGAGTCCCCAGTTAATCCCTTTTTCATTTTCATAACATTTAAAGCAAATAGCTGATACTTTTTTAGTGGTTTCTTTTTCATTAGCCGCCTCCACTAGACTATATATTCTAAAATCAGGAATCAGACTGGTCTTTTTAATTTACATTTCACCTAAGTAGAAAACAAGGGTGGGAAGTAGGCAGGTTCAGGGCATTGAAGGGATTACCACTCTGAAGAGAGTTCAGAGATTTTTTTTTTTCCTGAAAGAATGACAAGACGAGCTTTGCACCCCAGAAAGTTCCCTGTCACTACAGAGTAGAGAATGGCCTGGAGCCATATCTCAGGGAGCTGAGCTAAGATGGAAGGCAGGAATCCCAGCAAGAGATGACAGTGCTCTGGACACAGGTGCCTCAGAGTGAATGAGAAGTGGCAGTTGAATTGGGAATTAAGGGTCAAGAATCAACAAACACTGGTGACTGGCAGGTTATGAGGGAAACCCCTAGGTTCCTTCCTGGGAATTTGGTGAATGGTGATGTTATCTGCTGAGATTGGAGATGGAAAGAAGAAACTTTTAGGAATAAGCTGAATGTGCTTTGGAAACATCCAGCCTGGGGTGCATTTCTGTCATGTGCAAGCAAAGAAGTCCTCCAGATTGGGAGTGTGTGCAGCTCAGGAGACACCTGGGTAAAGTCA